AAAAAGTGCCCTTTTTTCCCCCTGGAGCACTTGCCCCCCAAAATGTCTGTGCACGCCACTGACTACAACAACAAGGATAATATCATGGGTCTAAAGGAATCCCCACTGCCACATAATAATTTGCAGATGCTTTAAATTTGATAAACAGTGACACCCAGTGGTACTATGTGGTAGTGACTGTTGAAGTCAGTTGCTATAGAGTTTTTTTGGAATTGTTCTGTGAAACAGGCCTCATGGTTTGTATGAGCACTCAAGTGTTAGCCTGTCTGTCTGTGCGGTAGAAAGAGGAGGCAATGGTTATGGGTACCGTGTGTGTGTGTGTGTGTGTGTGTGTAGGTTCTGCAGCTGATCCAGGAGAGAGGGAACATTTGCAGGCAGCTGCACTTACCGGCGCAGAGTGGCAGCAGTCAAGTGCTGCAGGCCATGCGACGGGGGTGAGGACTTAGATGCGTCTGTGCCCCCGCCCCTGGAAGGTCACTGAATGAAAGTTTGAGGTGTACTTTGTAGTATAATTCTTAATTTTGTGAAATATGAATACTTATTTGTTTATGTTTAACCATGACAGCTACACAAGGGAAGCATACCTGGAGCTTGTAGCAAACATACGGAGAATAATCCCAGGTACTCCTCCCGCACCTAATCTTCTGGGCTACCGTTGGCAAGAGCCGGCTATTCTTAGGTGTAGGATGACTTCAGGTAGTTTTTGTAAGTGACAGCTTTTTTGTGAGTGTGAGCTTTTATGGTGGGCTTTGACAGTGTCCGAACTGCACAGAAGTCAGATTTGGTGAGTGATGGTTATGTGCTGACTGATGAGATTGTCGGTCATGGTACTCCAGGCTGAGCTCATGCTGTGTAAGCTCTGTAATGACTAGAGGGTGTGAATCTGCTCTGAAATGGCCTGTGTGCTTCTCACGGCAGGAGTGAGCCTCAGCAGTGACTTCATCGCTGGATTCTGTGGGGAGACGGAGGAGGACCACCAGCAAACGCTCTCCCTGCTCAGGGAGGTGCGCTACCAGACAGCTTTCTTGTTTGCCTACAGCATGAGGAAGGTCAGCATCCTGTCCCGCACCTCTCAGCCTCAGGACCACTTGGACTGTCTGCTTTAATTATTAGGAGCATTGGTTAGTTTAGTTAAAAGAACGTGGTGAATATGTGCTAAACCCCTTTGGGTCTGATTTTTAAGTATCATCTGCTCATAGTCTTATTGTATTTTCCAGACAGGGAATGCACATAGTTTTAGGATTGGTCCGTTGCTACTGGAGATACTCATCTCCTTAGTGTGATTACCCAAAAAGTATTTGTTGGATCTTTTTCAAACTTCACAACAGTGTTGTATAGGAGAAGCTCTGGAACTAATTTTATTTTGAGCCTAATCTCACCAAAATTGAACCAATTCTACTTAGTGACAGCAATTAGAAGAGTGACACCAAAAGACACTTGACATTGTGAATGTGATAACTCAAAAGGTATTTGATGGATGTTATTGACACTTCAATAAAACATTACATGGATGATAGTCTACTTCTGGTTTCATTTTGAGACAAATTGCACCAAAATTGAAGCTGTAGAACTAGGTGGCAGCAAAGGTGGGAAAGGAAGGCTGCAGAAGACATATGAGCTTTTGAAGAGAATAACTCTAAAAGTATTTGATGGATTTTTACAAGTTTCCCAGAAACGTTGCAGAGGTGATGGTGTGGGGCCTATTTTTGAGACAAATTGCACCAAAATTGAAGCTGTAGAACTAGGTGGCAGCAAAGGTGGGAAAGGAAGGCTGCAGAAGACATATGAGCTTTTGAAGAGAATAACTCTAAAAGTATTTGATGGATTTTTACAAGTTTCCCAGAAACGTTGCAGAGGTGATGGTGTGGGGCCTATTTTTGAGACAAATTGCACCAAAATTGAAGCTGTAGAACTAGGTGGCAGCAAAGGTGGGAAAGGAAGGCTGCAGAAGACATATGAGCTTTTGAAGAGAATAACTCTAAAAGTATTTGATGGATTTTTACAAGTTTCCCAGAAACGTTGCAGAGGTGATGGTGTGGGGCCTATTTTTGAGACAAATTGCACCAAAATTGAAGCTGTAGAACTAGGTGGCAGCAAAGGTGGGAAAGGAAGGCTGCAGAAGACATATGAGCTTTTGAAGAGAATAACTCTAAAAGTATTTGATGGATTTTTACAAGTTTCCCAGAAACGTTGCAGAGGTGATGGTGTGGGGCCTATTTTTGAGACAAATTGCACCAAAATTGAAGCTGTAGAACTAGGTGGCAGCAAAGGTGGGAAAGGAAGGCTGCAGAAGACATATGAGCTTTTGAAGAGAATAACTCTAAAAGTATTTGATGGATTTTTACAAGTTTCCCAGAAACGTTGCAGAGGTGATGGTGTGGGGCCTATTTTTGAGACAAATTGCACCAAAATTGAAGCTGTAGAACTAGGTGGCAGCAAAGGTGGGAAAGGAAGGCTGCAGAAGACATATGAGCTTTTGAAGAGAATAACTCTAAAAGTATTTGATGGATTTTTACAAGTTTCCCAGAAACGTTGCAGAGGTGATGGTGTGGGGCCTATTTTTGAGACAAATTGCACCAAAATTGAAGCTGTAGAACTAGGTGGCAGCAAAGGTGGGAAAGGAAGGCTGCAGAAGACATATGAGCTTTTGAAGAGAATAACTCTAAAAGTATTTGATGGATTTTTACAAGTTTCCCAGAAACGTTGCAGAGGTGATGGTGTGGGGCCTATTTTTGAGACAAATTGCACCAAAATTGAAGCTGTAGAACTAGGTGGCAGCAAAGGTGGGAAAGGAAGGCTGCAGAAGACATATGAGCTTTTGAAGAGAATAACTCTAAAAGTATTTGATGGATTTTTACAAGTTTCCCAGAAACGTTGCAGAGGTGATGGTGTGGGGCCTATTTTTGAGACAAATTGCACCAAAATTGAAGCTGTAGAACTAGGTGGCAGCAAAGGTGGGAAAGGAAGGCTGCAGAAGACATATGAGCTTTTGAAGAGAATAACTCTAAAAGTATTTGATGGATTTTTACAAGTTTCCCAGAAACGTTGCAGAGGTGATGGTGTGGGGCCTATTTTTGAGACAAATTGCACCAAAATTGAAGCTGTAGAACTAGGTGGCAGCAAAGGTGGGAAAGGAAGGCTGCAGAAGACATATGAGCTTTTGAAGAGAATAACTCTAAAAGTATTTGATGGATTTTTACAAGTTTCCCAGAAACGTTGCAGAGGTGATGGTGTGGGGCCTATTTTTGAGACAAATTGCACCAAAATTGAAGCTGTAGAACTAGGTGGCAGCAAAGGTGGGAAAGGAAGGCTGCAGAAGACATATGAGCTTTTGAAGAGAATAACTCTAAAAGTATTTGATGGATTTTTACAAGTTTCCCAGAAACGTTGCAGAGGTGATGGTGTGGGGCCTATTTTTGAGACAAATTGCACCAAAATTGAAGCTGTAGAACTAGGTGGCAGCAAAGGTGGGAAAGGAAGGCTGCAGAAGACATATGAGCTTTTGAAGAGAATAACTCTAAAAGTATTTGATGGATTTTTACAAGTTTCCCAGAAACGTTGCAGAGGTGATGGTGTGGGGCCTATTTTTGAGACAAATTGCACCAAAATTGAAGCTGTAGAACTAGGTGGCAGCAAAGGTGGGAAAGGAAGGCTGCAGAAGACATATGAGCTTTTGAAGAGAATAACTCTAAAAGTATTTGATGGATTTTTACAAGTTTCCCAGAAACGTTGCAGAGGTGATGGTGTGGGGCCTATTTTTGAGACAAATTGCACCAAAATTGAAGCTGTAGAACTAGGTGGCAGCAAAGGTGGGAAAGGAAGGCTGCAGAAGACATATGAGCTTTTGAAGAGAATAACTCTAAAAGTATTTGATGGATTTTTACAAGTTTCCCAGAAACGTTGCAGAGGTGATGGTGTGGGGCCTATTTTTGAGACAAATTGCACCAAAATTGAAGCTGTAGAACTAGGTGGCAGCAAAGGTGGGAAAGGAAGGCTGCAGAAGACATATGAGCTTTTGAAGAGAATAACTCTAAAAGTATTTGATGGATTTTTACAAGTTTCCCAGAAACGTTGCAGAGGTGATGGTGTGGGGCCTATTTTTGAGACAAATTGCACCAAAATTGAAGCTGTAGAACTAGGTGGCAGCAAAGGTGGGAAAGGAAGGCTGCAGAAGACATATGAGCTTTTGAAGAGAATAACTCTAAAAGTATTTGATGGATTTTTACAAGTTTCCCAGAAACGTTGCAGAGGTGATGGTGTGGGGCCTATTTTTGAGACAAATTGCACCAAAATTGAAGCTGTAGAACTAGGTGGCAGCAAAGGTGGGAAAGGAAGGCTGCAGAAGACATATGAGCTTTTGAAGAGAATAACTCTAAAAGTATTTGATGGATTTTTACAAGTTTCCCAGAAACGTTGCAGAGGTGATGGTGTGGGGCCTATTTTTGAGACAAATTGCACCAAAATTGAAGCTGTAGAACTAGGTGGCAGCAAAGGTGGGAAAGGAAGGCTGCAGAAGACATATGAGCTTTTGAAGAGAATAACTCTAAAAGTATTTGATGGATTTTTACAAGTTTCCCAGAAACGTTGCAGAGGTGATGGTGTGGGGCCTATTTTTGAGACAAATTGCACCAAAATTGAAGCTGTAGAACTAGGTGGCAGCAAAGGTGGGAAAGGAAGGCTGCAGAAGACATATGAGCTTTTGAAGAGAATAACTCTAAAAGTATTTGATGGATTTTTACAAGTTTCCCAGAAACGTTGCAGAGGTGATGGTGTGGGGCCTATTTTTGAGACAAATTGCACCAAAATTGAAGCTGTAGAACTAGGTGGCAGCAAAGGTGGGAAAGGAAGGCTGCAGAAGACATATGAGCTTTTGAAGAGAATAACTCTAAAAGTATTTGATGGATTTTTACAAGTTTCCCAGAAACGTTGCAGAGGTGATGGTGTGGGGCCTATTTTTGAGACAAATTGCACCAAAATTGAAGCTGTAGAACTAGGTGGCAGCAAAGGTGGGAAAGGAAGGCTGCAGAAGACATATGAGCTTTTGAAGAGAATAACTCTAAAAGTATTTGATGGATTTTTACAAGTTTCCCAGAAACGTTGCAGAGGTGATGGTGTGGGGCCTATTTTTGAGACAAATTGCACCAAAATTGAAGCTGTAGAACTAGGTGGCAGCAAAGGTGGGAAAGGAAGGCTGCAGAAGACATATGAGCTTTTGAAGAGAATAACTCTAAAAGTATTTGATGGATTTTTACAAGTTTCCCAGAAACGTTGCAGAGGTGATGGTGTGGGGCCTATTTTTGAGACAAATTGCACCAAAATTGAAGCTGTAGAACTAGGTGGCAGCAAAGGTGGGAAAGGAAGGCTGCAGAAGACATATGAGCTTTTGAAGAGAATAACTCTAAAAGTATTTGATGGATTTTTACAAGTTTCCCAGAAACGTTGCAGAGGTGATGGTGTGGGGCCTATTTTTGAGACAAATTGCACCAAAATTGAAGCTGTAGAACTAGGTGGCAGCAAAGGTGGGAAAGGAAGGCTGCAGAAGACATATGAGCTTTTGAAGAGAATAACTCTAAAAGTATTTGATGGATTTTTACAAGTTTCCCAGAAACGTTGCAGAGGTGATGGTGTGGGGCCTATTTTTGAGACAAATTGCACCAAAATTGAAGCTGTAGAACTAGGTGGCAGCAAAGGTGGGAAAGGAAGGCTGCAGAAGACATATGAGCTTTTGAAGAGAATAACTCTAAAAGTATTTGATGGATTTTTACAAGTTTCCCAGAAACGTTGCAGAGGTGATGGTGTGGGGCCTATTTTTGAGACAAATTGCACCAAAATTGAAGCTGTAGAACTAGGTGGCAGCAAAGGTGGGAAAGGAAGGCTGCAGAAGACATATGAGCTTTTGAAGAGAATAACTCTAAAAGTATTTGATGGATTTTTACAAGTTTCCCAGAAACGTTGCAGAGGTGATGGTGTGGGGCCTATTTTTGAGACAAATTGCACCAAAATTGAAGCTGTAGAACTAGGTGGCAGCAAAGGTGGGAAAGGAAGGCTGCAGAAGACATATGAGCTTTTGAAGAGAATAACTCTAAAAGTATTTGATGGATTTTTACAAGTTTCCCAGAAACGTTGCAGAGGTGATGGTGTGGGGCCTATTTTTGAGACAAATTGCACCAAAATTGAAGCTGTAGAACTAGGTGGCAGCAAAGGTGGGAAAGGAAGGCTGCAGAAGACATATGAGCTTTTGAAGAGAATAACTCTAAAAGTATTTGATGGATTTTTACAAGTTTCCCAGAAACGTTGCAGAGGTGATGGTGTGGGGCCTATTTTTGAGACAAATTGCACCAAAATTGAAGCTGTAGAACTAGGTGGCAGCAAAGGTGGGAAAGGAAGGCTGCAGAAGACATATGAGCTTTTGAAGAGAATAACTCTAAAAGTATTTGATGGATTTTTACAAGTTTCCCAGAAACGTTGCAGAGGTGATGGTGTGGGGCCTATTTTTGAGACAAATTGCACCAAAATTGAAGCTGTAGAACTAGGTGGCAGCAAAGGTGGGAAAGGAAGGCTGCAGAAGACATATGAGCTTTTGAAGAGAATAACTCTAAAAGTATTTGATGGATTTTTACAAGTTTCCCAGAAACGTTGCAGAGGTGATGGTGTGGGGCCTATTTTTGAGACAAATTGCACCAAAATTGAAGCTGTAGAACTAGGTGGCAGCAAAGGTGGGAAAGGAAGGCTGCAGAAGACATATGAGCTTTTGAAGAGAATAACTCTAAAAGTATTTGATGGATTTTTACAAGTTTCCCAGAAACGTTGCAGAGGTGATGGTGTGGGGCCTATTTTTGAGACAAATTGCACCAAAATTGAAGCTGTAGAACTAGGTGGCAGCAAAGGTGGGAAAGGAAGGCTGCAGAAGACATATGAGCTTTTGAAGAGAATAACTCTAAAAGTATTTGATGGATTTTTACAAGTTTCCCAGAAACGTTGCAGAGGTGATGGTGTGGGGCCTATTTTTGAGACAAATTGCACCAAAATTGAAGCTGTAGAACTAGGTGGCAGCAAAGGTGGGAAAGGAAGGCTGCAGAAGACATATGAGCTTTTGAAGAGAATAACTCTAAAAGTATTTGATGGATTTTTACAAGTTTCCCAGAAACGTTGCAGAGGTGATGGTGTGGGGCCTATTTTTGAGACAAATTGCACCAAAATTGAAGCTGTAGAACTAGGTGGCAGCAAAGGTGGGAAAGGAAGGCTGCAGAAGACATATGAGCTTTTGAAGAGAATAACTCTAAAAGTATTTGATGGATTTTTACAAGTTTCCCAGAAACGTTGCAGAGGTGATGGTGTGGGGCCTATTTTTGAGACAAATTGCACCAAAATTGAAGCTGTAGAACTAGGTGGCAGCAAAGGTGGGAAAGGAAGGCTGCAGAAGACATATGAGCTTTTGAAGAGAATAACTCTAAAAGTATTTGATGGATTTTTACAAGTTTCCCAGAAACGTTGCAGAGGTGATGGTGTGGGGCCTATTTTTGAGACAAATTGCACCAAAATTGAAGCTGTAGAACTAGGTGGCAGCAAAGGTGGGAAAGGAAGGCTGCAGAAGACATATGAGCTTTTGAAGAGAATAACTCTAAAAGTATTTGATGGATTTTTACAAGTTTCCCAGAAACGTTGCAGAGGTGATGGTGTGGGGCCTATTTTTGAGACAAATTGCACCAAAATTGAAGCTGTAGAACTAGGTGGCAGCAAAGGTGGGAAAGGAAGGCTGCAGAAGACATATGAGCTTTTGAAGAGAATAACTCTAAAAGTATTTGATGGATTTTTACAAGTTTCCCAGAAACGTTGCAGAGGTGATGGTGTGGGGCCTATTTTTGAGACAAATTGCACCAAAATTGAAGCTGTAGAACTAGGTGGCAGCAAAGGTGGGAAAGGAAGGCTGCAGAAGACATATGAGCTTTTGAAGAGAATAACTCTAAAAGTATTTGATGGATTTTTACAAGTTTCCCAGAAACGTTGCAGAGGTGATGGTGTGGGGCCTATTTTTGAGACAAATTGCACCAAAATTGAAGCTGTAGAACTAGGTGGCAGCAAAGGTGGGAAAGGAAGGCTGCAGAAGACATATGAGCTTTTGAAGAGAATAACTCTAAAAGTATTTGATGGATTTTTACAAGTTTCCCAGAAACGTTGCAGAGGTGATGGTGTGGGGCCTATTTTTGAGACAAATTGCACCAAAATGTCACTTAGGGGTGGCTCAGTAAAGAACCGATCCGGTGAACCTGTTTACACTGAGACAAGTCAACTGAGACATACAACATTTTTTGGAGAAGAGTATGGATTAGATAGATCTCTTTACTGGTCACATTTTTTCTTTATTCTTTTTCAAATTTTCCATTCAGAAAACCCATGCTTTTCACCGTCTCCAAGATGACGTGCCTGTGGAGGTGAAACAGCGCCGTCTAGAGGAACTGATAAGTGTTTTCAGAGAGGAGGCAGTGCGGATCAATACCAGCCTGATCGGAAGCACACAGCTTATCCTAGTGGAGGGTGTAAGTACTGCAAGCACTGTTTCAGGCTCATAAACGTAAAGTGTTTCTGAGTAGAGTGTCGGTGTTTAAATCTGTTTTTATATTATCTTAATTTTCCAGGAGAGTAAAAGGTCCTCACAGGACTTGTGTGGGAGAAACGAGGGGAATATAAAGGTGATCTTTCCGCGGGACAATGTTCCGCTGCTTGGTGATGACGCCCACACTGCTCCCATCAGTCCTGGTGGTTATGTGCTCGTCAAGGTATGACCTGTCTTTGTTCATTTTAGCTGTGTAATAGAGGTGCTAGTTGTACCATGCAGAGAGTGTACAGCTACCTGCGGAGTGGCCCACATGTTTTGTGGTGTTTTCCCTCCAGATCACATCTGCCAGCTCTCAGAGCCTGAGAGGTCATGCCATGAGCCACGCATCCCTGAGCTGTACGGGGAGGTACCCACTGCAGGGCTGACAGATGCCTGCTTCCTGACCACCATCTAGGCCTCTCCTCACTGTCATTTACATTTACCGCTGACACAAATAAATAAATGCTGTATCATCATATTGACATTCTTACTGTTAACAGTGATAGAGAATATGGTAATGATTATAGTAGACAAAAACAGACTTTACATATTTGAGCTGTCATGATTACTCCATGATTACAAAACATCGATTAAAATTTTCCTTCTGGATTACTAGGCAACATGGTGGAAGGAAGATGGCACAGGGTCCAAATATGTGAAAGCATCAGTTGTTAAATTTTAGGACCACTATTGTTCCTAATTTACATAAATGATATTGACACCAATACAGACAGTAAACTAGTTAAATTTGCAGACAACACCAAGGTGGGTGGTGTAGCAGATACTGATCTAGCAGCAGAGAGGCTACAACGGGATCTT